GAACGGTGCAGCTCAGTGTGTGCGGTACACAGGTGGATGTGGGGCCTGTTTATGGGGAGCAGGTATGGTTATAGCAGCTGCCAGGTGGAGGGATCTGAGACAATGCTCTACTGGGCACCAGCAGTTCTTCCCTGAGGAACTGTCCAGCTTAGCAGCAGCTCCATGGGAGGGGAGACATTATTTTTGCTGCAGTCCTTCGGTCGCCCACCACCTCGCTCTGATGATGCGCCAGGGGCGATTCTAGGAGCAGAGGTTTAGGGGGCCTGAGCACCTAGAGAGCTGTCTGGCCACACAAGATTCATTTCACTGTTTTCTACACAGATTTTTGAAACCTGTCGGTGCGTTTTGCTAATGACTCCCTCCATCATTCACTAATGCATCGTATCTGAGACCTGAGCAAAAAACTGCATTTTTAGGAGAATATTCCAACCAATTAAAGCTTTTAAATCATCAGTTTTCATGAAATAAGTTTTCTCTTTTGTGAGCCAAAATGACTTCCATGATAAATGTAAAATAATTGACTGAATAACAGTTTTTTCTTTGCCAGTTTAACAGCTGCTGCTATTCTGTCTGGTTCCTTTCATGGTTTTTCCTCACCTTACACACACCTGGCTCCTCTGCTCCCCCGTTACACCGCTCACTCTGTAGACTGGCTATTATAAAATGGAATGTGAATTCAAATAACTAGAATGTGAAATAAATTATAACGATTTACTAATGATTTGTTAAATTTAAATATTGAAATTGTGTTGTGGTTTTAAAGATAACCTAACAAACCAGTATAAGGCACATTAGAGCACCTCGCTGGTGAACATTTCACCAACACACCATCAATAGTTGCAAAGCGTTGCTTAACATTTTAGTGAAAGAGCTCCATCAGGCTGGTTTACTTTTTTTTTTTTTGTTTATTTATTATCATTTCTGATGAGCCAGATCATAATCACTGTATAGTTTTTACAATGTCACATTTTTTCCCATGTTGTTTATTGTAAAAAGCGCATACAGTATTAAAGAAAACACTCATATTTTAGGGGTGCTTTGATTTAAATTACGGTTCCTTCAGCACCCCCAGAAATAGGCTAAAAACGGCTGTGATGCGCCATCTCAGTTTATTATAAAGTCATGTATGATCTGACCTGTATTTGCCTCCACTAGGATCTCCATCAGAGCTGATCCTGTTTATTTCAAAGATCTGGCTGCGTTCTGTCCTCTCATTGCTCCAGCTGCAGCTACAGACCTTCAAAGTTGGTGAACCACATGATCAGATCGCTGTTGGTCTTTTTTCAATTGGCTCTGCAGTTTAGTGTTTCTTAAACAGATATAGTGGAACAAACCAGGAGAGTTTACCACAATTCAGCACAACTCAAAAAGACTTTTGATGCCAAAGTGAAAATAAATGTTTCATGAACTCATCGTTTTGAACCAGTTATAGGTGTTGATGTTGGAAAAAGGAAGGATCTTCTGATGAGCGTCCAGCTGAATCACTGGTGGAAAGTTTACTTGATTACTGTACTTAAGTACTTTTCTTTAGTCTCCTTAATCATTTTTTTAACGGGTACTTCTAACTTTCCCTCCACTCCATTTCCAGGAAGCTGTTAGTTCCTTTAAGCTCAGCTTAGCTTTCTAATCCCCTGCTGCTGGTTTTCTGTAGCAGCCCTGTGGACTGAATCTAGAGGATGTTTGGCTCAACCTGCTGCTGTGAAGCAGGATTCTCCACCATGAACAGAATCAACAATAAATATGGATCCAGGCTCAAAATGAGCAGCTTGATATGTGCTTGAGAATGGCTTAGTCTCCATTCAAACCCAGGTTTAAAGCCTTGCAGGGCAGCCTAAAGCCCACTGCCAACATTAAGACAGAAAAAATAATAACAAACGGTCAGTTCAGGTGTTTGAGAAAATAAGGGAATCAGGAAATTTATCTATAAACCAAACTGAACGATTGTTGTTCTCTACTTCAAAAACAATTAAGATTTTTAAATGGAAAAGTTTTCTGTTTTTTAAATTTCTTTATTCAAAAATTCCATCTATAACGTGGATGCATAAAAACCTCATTTTATTTCAGTGTTAGATTCTGTTTAAAGTAACAGATTCTAATTAAAACTTTCTCCAGACCTTTACTGTTGAAGATTTTCTTCATTCAGACCCCACATGGTGACCTCTGCTCTATTCTATAGAGAAAGAATAAGAAGAATCAAGACTATTTTCTTTTTGGTTTGTTTGTAAATAAAAATAAATAAATAAATATCTGTCCTTATTTTTTTGCCATTTTTATGCTGAAGTTCTTTCCAGGTAGAATCTATAGCAGGTGGTTTTATGCATCAATACATTTAGATGGTTTCTTAGTGTGAGGGATTGCTGAAGAGTCAATGAATCGATGCAATCAACTGGTTTTCCTTAGATAGAAAACTTTAAATCAATCTGACTGGATGATCTGGTAAATTTAATTGAAAGTTAGAGGTTCTTTAAAATTCCACTGGACTTTGTTTCCAAGTCTGAAGACGTTTCTCTTCCATCCAGGAAACTTTTTCATTTCAAAATGTCAGAAATAGCGTTGAGTTCCAGGTTTTATCCAGCAGCCCAACAAAGCCTGGTTTTTGTTTAGAAAACATTAGATTAAATTATATTCAACTTTATTGTCATTACACATGTACAGGTACAAGGCAACGCAATGCAGTTTAGGTCTAACCAGAAGTGCAACAGCAGCAAGTGCTGCTATTGCACTATAAATAATGGGTCCATAAATACAGGACATGGGTTCTACTGAATGAGTATAGAGATGAATGCTATTATAATTAATGAATATAATATATAGATCACTAGTGTTATGAACTAATTTTTGCAGCTGGATATGTACCAAATATAATATAAAGGTGGATATTACTATAAAAAGGGTTTTTACAGTTATGTACAATAGCATAATATACAGATGGGTTTTACTATAAAAAGAATAAATAAAGTTTGGACAGATGCTATCTAAATTAAAGTGCAGTGGAAGGTAATTGGATATTACAGTTAAAGTATGTTAATGCAGATGTAAATGTAAACAATTGGTGCTTTAAATAAACAGTCGGCAGTGCAGATCAATAATCAGTCAATGTGAGTAGTGCAAGATGCATATAAAAAGTTGTTACAACAGTAACAGCCAGGAGAGCAGGTGAACATTACAGTCTTGTAAATAACAGAATAGCAGAATGGTGGTAGGTGTGAGGAAGGAGAGTAGAGTCTATCCATAAGGGTTAGAGTTCAGTAAAGAGACAACCAGTCTGTGGGCTGGGTGGGATGAGTCCTTAATGCTGCAGGCTCCATGGAGGCAGCGTTTCTCCTGGATGTGCTCAATGGTGGGTAGTGAAGTTCCAGTGATGCGCTGGGCGGCTTTCACCACCAGCTGCAGTGCCTTGCGCTCTGCAACAGAACAGCTTCCGCACCGCACTGTTACACAGTTGGTCAGGATGCTTTCTATTGCACCAGCGATAGAAGTTCACCAGGATAGTTGAGGGGAGCTGATTCTTCCTCAGTGATCTCAGGAAGAGCAGGTGCTGGTGAGCCTTCTGGAGAGACCATGAGCCTCGTGATGTACTCGCGCCAAACATGCTAATAGAAACGGATGAACGGGTCCCTCCCTATGGAATGGGGGTTGTTTGGCTTCTTTGTTCGCCTGCAATGCCCCATACCTGTCTATGTCTCTGAAAGAGGGGTCGTTAAAGGGAATTGCTGGCCTGGCTGAACAGGTGAGGTCTTCTGTTCTCCTGTAAAGGGGTTGGTGCTGCAATGGTAGCGGGAAGGAATCAACTCTATTGCTGCAATGTAGGTTATTGAAAGCTGAAATCTGAGTTCCCCCCCCCCCCCCCTCTGTTTAAGGTCGGTTTTTCTTAACATAAAGTTCATCTTCAAACTTGAAATCAAAGTCCAGTGGATTATTTTTTTTTACTTTTTTGGAATGACTATGACCTGGATGACTGGGAATCTTCACCAGTTTAGTTCTTTAAAATCAGTCTTATTATTAGACTCTTATTGATTTTACTGAAATATGCTGATGTCAGAATATTTTAATTGTATTTTTGAAAACTTAAATACTTTAAAATGGATGTACTTTTTTAATACTTCAGAATATTTAAAAGTGAGTACTTCAATACTTGAGTAGTTGTTTGACTGAGTAACTTTTACCTGTGGTTGAGTACATTTTGACTATAAGTATTACTAATTTTATGAAAGTACTACTGCTGAGTACTTCGTTCACCACTAATCGTGATCTACATGAATTCTGTAAAACCTGTTGTCTCTGTTATCAGCTCTACTCTTCACAACCAGAACCATGCCAAACAAAAATGGAATATTATTATTAGTAGAATCCTAATCCTGGTGAACTGACTGCAGAGGTGATGTTCTGAGTGTTAAAACTGTTTTTTTTTTTCAACTTATTGAAGCAAATAAAGCCAAGCTGCTCTCTAGACTCTAAGAACAGAACAAAGCAGCTCTACTAGTCACACTTGTAGTGACACCACTAGTTCAGAGTCACTAGGTCCCCAGCTTCTATTATTTAATGTCTCTCCAAATACCAACGCTCTCGGATTCTCCTGGACCTCTGGGTTCAGTCAGCAAAGCCCTACAGATCCATGCTGCCCGCTTTGTCCCTCAATAAGCAAATCAATCAGCTTCCATCTACAAACTCCTTCCAGATCAATCTGCTTTCCCCCGTCAGACCAATCAGAAAGTTCAAATGACTTCCTGTAGTTTTCTGCTTCCAGATTCATGTGTTTTTTTTGTAAATAAAACATTAAAATTCACTGGTTCTCTGTGTGATTCTGCATGTGGGTCGAAAAGCTACAAACCAACAGGGAACTAACTGACTTGTCTTGTCTGTGTGATTTCTTCATAGTTGAGGTAGTAAAAGTACTAACAATAAAAAAGTGTTTTTAAATTTAACAAAGTCCAAACTTTTACCCCTCCCCAAGCAACACCCTGTCATTACTGACTTCTCAACTTTTTTTCCCCCCCAAGGATCCAGATAAAACCTGAAGAGCAAAAACAAGCCTGACAAGGAACAAGAAGAGTGGGAAATAAAACCAAACTGAATATGGAGGAGAAGAAAGGAAGATTTGGGGGTTTGTAGTCCAACAAAAAGGAAAGAATGGTGAAATAAAGCCACAAGGCTGTGTGGAACAGCAGCAGACTTACAGGGAAAACATCTGGATGAAGGAGCAGCCAGCAGCTTCCTGCCCTACAAAGATGGCCTCCAACTTCAGTGACATCATCAAGCAGGGCTATGTGCGAATGCGGAGCCGGAAGCTCGGGGTTAGTGTCTTTATTTCTATGAATGCTGCGCTCACACTGAACGGGTCTATGGGGGCGGCGTCTATGGTGTGCCATTTGTAAAGTTAAGCAGTCAAAAATTAGGACCAATTATTTATGGTTATTTAGCGTATTTTACGAGAATTTAAAAGTTTATTTTTTCCCAAGTCATTTTATCCCTATTTCATTGATTCATCTTACTTTGTTTAAAATATATTTAGCTTCCAACTAAATATTTAGTTTGCAAAATCAATATTTAGTTATCACAAGAAAACAGTTAATGATTTCTTGAGATAACGAGATGATTACCCTCTATGAGTGATGAATGAGGCGGCCAACAGCCCTGGATTCCCTGTCCATCCATGCCTGTGGGGCCCATAGTCACGCAGTATCGCCTGATAATCAGATTTTTAGTTTCCTTTTTTTTTACTCATTTTCAGGTGGTGGTGGATGATCGGATTAAATGGAATACAGTAAAAACAAATCTGACAGTTTTTTTTTTTATGAAAATCTATAATCTGGCTCATTTTAGGGGTTAATGTATCTTATAGCTTTACATGC